TAGAAAGAAAGGGAGTGAGATAGGAAAATAAAGAAAAAAGGAGAGTGGTAAAGAAAGAAAGAGAGCAAGAGAAAGTAAAAAAAGAAAGAGAGAAAAGGGAGGAGAGAGAGAGAGAGAAAGGGGGAGAGAAAGAAAGGGGAAAAATAGAGAGACAAAGAGATATAGAGGAAAAAACAAGAGAGAAGAAAGAAGTGATAAAAAGAAAGACAGGAGAAAGAGGGGGGGGGGGAGAGAAAGAGAGAGAGTGAGGACCAAAAACAGAGGGGTAGAGAAAGAAAGAGCAAGAGAAAGTAAAAAAACGAAAGAGAGAGAAGGGGGGGAGAGAGAAAGAAAGAAAGAAAGAAAGAAAGAAAAAAGAGGGAGACATTAATCTATTAGGATTCAAGGTTTTGTTAAATGGCAAACATTATCCGCCTTGAATGAATCGCATAGTATTTAGAACCATGACCTAAGTGCTTTAGTACACCGGCCAGATAATGCATTAGTGTCCTATTGACAGAGCTTAAAAAGCAATTTGTAGCAGAGACCTTTCAGCACCATGGACAGCTCTTCTACTTGTACTACAAACTAAAAGGCAGCAAGGTACAAGGCCTGACAAACACACAATTCTAACAATGGCATGCAGACAAACAATAGCAACAGCAGTCATAATGACATAAGTCGTGTGGGAGCCAAGTCCGGAGCTGAACACAGCAAAGAGAGGAGACCAGAGTCAGCCCTCCACACACAGGACACTAGAGGAGAGGATTCATGCCGGCTTACCATGTTGACTTCAGAGACCATATCAATGCTGGCGATGTCTATATTCATTCCAACAGCCACTGGAGAACCTGGAAAGAAATCAATAGGGAAACCCTCATTTTATAACCTCCACTACTTCCGACTTAATGGATATTAGCAGGCATGCCATCTGAAAGCATTACATACAGAAACTAGTAATGGCGTACAATCGATGTTTATGGAGTATTTTGCATTGTATACACTGACTATGGCTATTCAATTAATGTATTCCAAAGCAAGCATGGAACGATGATGATGATGATGATGATGAAACAATAAAAAACAGCACATTCATTAGAAATAAAACTGCCTTACCTCCAAAGTCGGGTCTTAGGCGGATGTCATACCCCTTTAAATAATTTATCCACTGTCTCCTTCACAAATGACATATTCCCGGGATCATTGACACTGTGGACATAGAGAAGAATTGGTCACAGAAGGCACTAGTATAAAGGATGAGCAACATTTTCTTCTGAACTTTTTACACTTCTCAAGACATCTCTACCAGTGTATACTAAATAAAAGCTTGATAATGTCACTTTGCAGCTCCACTCACTATATCAGAAGTAAATGGTAACACTTGTGACTAAATATCTAGAAAACAGTTACAGAGTATTTTAGGAAGATCATAGTCCCCAAAAAGTAATGTGTGACCCCTTTGAGGAAGCCCCTATGGTTAGATGGGAAACCTACCTTTGGACTTAGCACACCACCACTAGGACAGAAACAGAGATCAATCCAAAGAGAAAGTGCCACATTCCTCATTGGCATGCTGGCAAATGAACAGGGGTCACCCAAAATGTAAAACTCAGGGTCATCAAAAGTGAAGTGTGGTCCCTTTGAGGAAACCCTATGGCTAGATGGGAAACCTACATTTGGACTTAGGACACCATCACAAGGACAGGAGCGGAGATCAATCCAAAAAGAGAGTTTCACATTCCTCTGGGAACAGTGGAGGCCGATAAGTGGTCCCCCAAAAGTAAGGTGTGACCCCTTTGATGATGCACCCATGGTTCCCTGGAAAACCCCTTTGAGCTCAGCACACCACCTCCACTAAACTGAAACAGAGATCAATCCAAAGAGAGTCAAAATATTATTTTGGACATCCTGGGCACGCTGGGGGAAGACCAGGGGTCCCAAAAAGCAAAAAACATGGTCCCCTCCAAAGTAAAGTGTGATCCTCTTGATGAAGCCTCTGTGGAAGACTACCTTTGGGCGCATCACAAAACAGACACTAGACAGGAGCAGAGATGAATCCAAAGAGAGAATACCACATTCCTTTGAGCACTCCGGGGGCTGAAAGAAGCAGGTCCCCTCAACAGGTAAAGTTCATGGTCCATCAAAAGTAAAGTGTGAGGAAGCCCCTAGAGCTCCCCGGGAAACCTATGTTTGTGCTCAGCACACCATCACTAAACAGACTGGAGCAGTGGTCAATCTAAAGAGCGTTTACCACATCCCTCCTGGGACTGATCGGGGATACCACCAAAAGTAAAGCTCATGGTCGCTCAAAAGTAAAGTATGATGAAGCCCTTAGAGCTCCCTGGGTAACCTACAGTTGGGCGCAGTACACCAATGCCACCAGGACCGGAACAGTGATCAATCCAAAGAGTTTACCACATCCCAAGATCGGGGGTCCCCAAAAGTAAAGCTCATGGTCGCTCAAAAGTAAAGTATGATGAAGCCCTTAGAGCTCCCTGGGAAACCTACCTTTGGGCGCAGTACACCAATCCCACCAGGGACCGAGCAGTGATCAATCCAAAGAGTTTACCACATCCCTCCTAGGGAAGATCAGGGGTCCCCAAAAGTAAAACTCATGGTCGCTCAAAAGTAAAGTATGATGAAGCCCTTAGAGCTCCCTGGGAAACCTACCTTTGGGCGCAGTACACCAATCCCACCAGGACCGAGCAGTGATCAATCCAAAGAGTTTAGCACATCCCTCCTGGGGCAGATCGGGGTCCCCCTAGCCTAGAGTAAAGCTCATTAGCCCTCAAAAGTAAAGTGTGACGATGCCACTAGGGCACCCTAGGAAACTTACGTTTTGTGCTCAGCACACCACCACTAGCAGGAACCGGAGCAGTGATCAATTCAAAGAGAGTTTAGCACATCCCTCTTGGGACAGATCGGGGGTCCCCCAAAGTAAAGATCACGGTCCCTCAAAAGTAAAGTGTGAAGCTCCCTGGGAAACCTACCTTTGGGCGCAGCACACCACCGCCACCAAGGACCGGAGCAGAGATCAATCCAAAGAGAGAGTACCACATTCCTCCGGGCATCCCGGGCACGCTGGGGAGGGCAGATCGTGACAAGTACCACCGTCTTTACGGTTCTAGAAGCTGAGCCTTACATCCGAACTTGTTTCTCCAGATAAGGCAAGCCTCAGTGAGCAGCATTAGGCGTCAGAGCAAAGGAAGTGTTCCTGGAGTCATCAAGGGATATTGTGACTGTGGAGGGAGGAGATAGTTATGTCATGAGCAGGACAACTGGGGTGTCAGTGTGATCAATGCAGGACAGCTGGTCCTCACTCCTCTATCTCGCCTCATCAAAAATCAAATCAGTAAATAAATACAAGTCCATCACGTTTTGTTTTTTTCCCTTTGATCTTCCAAGTCCTAGGCTTTAAAAGGAGTCTCCATCTGTGTTCAGCACCATGGTAGAAGGAAGGGGACCTGATTGATGATGAAGAAGAAGAAGCATGTAGCAGTCATGCCTTGCTGGTATCCCTCCAGCCACTGCTGACATTTTAGGCATGGGAAGGCAGGCAAGCAGATGGGGAGAAGTTTCCAAGGGGGGCACCTGAGATGAAATGGGGTGATGAGAGATCTGCAGCACCATCAGCACCGGTCTACACTGAGCCCATGGCCATGTGAAGCGGACTGTGATCGTGGGAGGGGGGCCCCTTAATCTCCGACAAGCACAGCCCACACTCATCACAAGCCAAAGCAGACTCAGCACTGCAGCAACAGAAGCAGAAGCAGCAGATTTTTCCCTCCCCAGTCAAGGAACACAAGACATTGCTGCAGTCCTAGATTCCTGGCTAAAGTCCTGAGGCTGGGGAAAAAAACGACACGTGTGTGAGAAGCAGAGCACAGGGACGTGGCAGCAGGACACACCGACAGGACCTGGGGCAAATGCCGCACTGGGATCCTCAGCGCTCTTCTGCCATTTGCTGCTGAAAAGACCATCTGGCAGTGTATGGAGCGATCCGGAGTGCCGGGGACTGCACACTCACATCTAGTCCCCGCTGACAGCGATGACAGCTCCTTCTGTCTGTCTGTCTGCCGCACAGCCACCAACACAGCCCCTCACTCTGCTCTATTCGTCTCGCGTAACACGCCGATTTCTCCAAATGAGTTGAAAGGAGTTTCTTCATCTGATTAGAGCCGTGACTGTTCTAGTCATAGCATCCCAGTGCCTTGGAGATAGCACGCCTTAAAGCCCGCCGCATGCATCAAATAGGATTCCCCTAATTGAACTTGGCTAATCCTCCTACGTTCTGTAGTACAACTGACCTCAGCATTGGCTGCCATCACACTGCTGTACAAGGCAGGAGGGGGGAGAGGAGTGCCAGGGGTGGGACTGACACTTCAATCCCATCTCCACACTCCCAAAAACTGAATTATGGAAAAGACTGGTTTGAGGGTTGCTGGGAAAATTGAAATAAAAAGAGTTCATTTACTAAAGTGCAAATAAGCAGTTTTGCACTTTGCAGGGGATTTTCATATAGCTAGGGCAGAGATCCTCAACCTATTTTCAGTCAAGACACCCTTTAAAATTATATAGACAGTCCCAAGGCACGCTTTTAAATGATGAACAGTCACAAGGCAACCCTTTGAAATGATGGGCAGTCCTGAGGCACCCTTTAAAATTATAGACAGTCCCAAGGCACCCTTTCAAATGATGAACAGTCCCGAGGCACCCTTACAAAATTATAGACAGTCCCAAGGCACCCTTTCAAATTATGGACAGTCACAAGGCACCCTTTTAAATTATGGACAGTCCCAAAGGCACCCTTTGAAATGATGGGCAGTCCCAAGGCACCCTTTAAAATTATAGACACACCCCTTTAAAATTATAGACAGTCCCGAGGCACCCTTAAAATTATAGATAGTCCCGAGGCAACCCTTTAAAATTATGGACAGTCCTGAGGCACCCTTTAAAATTATAGATAGTCTAGAGGCACCCTTAAAAATTATGGACAGACCCGAGGCAACCCTTTAAAATATAGATAGTCTCGAGGCACCCTTTAAAATTATGGACAATCCTGAGGCACCCTTTAAAATTAAATGGACAGTCCTGAGGCACCCTTTAAAAATTATAGACAGTCTCGAGGCAACCCTTAAAAAATGATGGGACAGACCCGAGGCACTCTTTAAAATTATACACAGTCCCGAGGCACTCTTTAAAAAAATTATGGGCAGTCCCGAGGCACCCTTTTGAAATTATAGACAGTTTTGAGGCACCCTTTACAATTATGGACAATCCCATGGAACCCTTTAAAATTATGGACAGTCCCAATGCGCCCTTTAAAATTATAGACAGTCTTGAGGCACCCTTTAAAATTATGGACAGTCCCAGAGGCAACCCTTTAAAATTATAAACAGTTCCAAGGCACACTTTAAAAATTAAGGGCAAGTCCCAAGGCACACTTTAAAATTAAGGGCCAGTCCCAAGGCACCCTTTAAAATTATGGACAGTCCCGAGGCAAAAACCCTTAAAATTATGGACAGTCCCGAGGCACCCTTAAAATTATAGACAGTCTCTAGGCACCCTTTAAAATTATGGACAGTTTTAGAGGCACCATTTAAAATTATAGACAGTCCCAAGGCACTCTTTAAAATTATGGACAGTCTTGAGACACCCCATTCTAAAATAGCTGTCCATAATTTTAAAAGTGTGCCCCATTCTAAAGTGTGAAAAACGATTCTAATAGTTTTATATAACACAGCAACATCCATCCAACATTAGAGGTGATTTATTCTTCCAAAGCAAATACACTTTTGCACACTGGTACTGACTAGTATTCTAGTGTTTCTCTCTCCCTCAGTTTTTTTCCATTACTGAGCTAAATGTGACCCTTAGCACTGTGATGGACCACTCCATTAGTGCTGGGGTCACATTCACTCAAGTGATGTGAACCCAGGACTGCTGGAGGGTCAAACTAGTATTGCTGTGCAGGCAGTTGACAACCTCCTTATCAACTAATGATGTCACTGGTTGTCAGATGCCGGCAGCAAGAAAGGTGGTAATGGTGCACAATTAAAAACCTGTGACTTTGTGTAACTAAAAGGCAGTGCTCGTTCCACCTGCTGGCTTGTATACAAATGTTGGGCAATTTTTTGACATTTTTGCAAAGGCACCCCTGAAAAAACTTCAAGGCATCCCAGGATGCCCGAGCACACCTGGTTTGAGAAAGGCTTGAGCTAGAGGATGTTACACTTTTTCCTTGGTTTAGTGCAGGGGTCTCCAAACTTTTTTACACAAAGGCCAGTTTACTGACCCTCAGAGCTTAGGCGGGACTGACTGTAGCCATTGGGAGTAGAAAATTCCACGGCATCAGATTGCCCCATCATTGATTTTAAAAGGAAGAATAGTGTTTCCATTGTTGATGTCAATGTGAGAAGAAAAGTGCTCCCATTGTTGAATATCAGTGAGAAAGTCTAAATGCCCCATTGATGGTGTCAGTAGGGTTGCAAAATGGTGCTCCATCATTGGTGAAAATTGTGGAATAACACTTGTTTAGTGCATGAGATAAAACTCTGTTATGTGTAAGGCTCCTTCACAACCTATGCAGTTTGCTTTTTGTCCATTTTGCAGAGCTTTTTTTTTCCCGCAGTTCCTTTTCATTTTTTTGATGTGTTTTTGACACGTTTTTCCAACATTTTGCATTTTGTTTTCAGCTTTTTTTTTGTTAACCACTTGCCTACCGGGCACTTTTACCCCCTTTCAATTTTCAGCTTTCAGCACTCTCATACTTTAAAATGCCAATTGCGCAGTTATGCAACACTGTACTCAAACTAAATTTTTATCATTTTTGAGACAGTGCTTTCTTTTGGTGGTATTTGATCACCACTGGGTGTTTTTATTTCAAACATTTTTTTTTTTCCAAAAACATTTTTTTTTTCAATTGAAATGTAAGCTTCAGGTACAAATGTTGCACAGTAACAAATAAGTGAAACAGTACAGTCATTACAGCGATTGAAATGTAATGAGACATTCAACACATAAATGCGAGGGGAGAGAAAACACAAAGAAAAACAAATGATCATATGTTGTCAAATGTCTAGGTCGATAGCACCTCCATACACTGTTTGACTTTGACATATGGAGTAATATGATTTCATATCCAGATTCTAGTAACCCTAATGAGTTGAAAAGGAAATCTCCCACTGTTCCTTTCCTTTGAAGCTCTCATAACCTAGTGGGGTGGATATACCATCTGACCTGGGCAGTAAGCACGTGAGTACATAAGCAGTTCAGGGAGCTCATATGATTCTGGGCTTAAAGTAAACCTATTGTGCTGTGGCCAATGCTGCCCCCTGATTTGTTTTATTGGTCCGATTCGATGGTAATCCACCTTCATAGTGTTGGGGAGGAGGGGGTTGGGATTAAAGGGGGAACATGAAAACAGAAAAAGAAGTAAGAAGGAAGCAGTATGGTATAATAGAAGGGGATCTTGTATTGGCCCTCTGAGAATTGGTTGATCCCAGTCCCTATTTACCAACTCCACCCCCATATCAGTCCCAAAATGGATCAGGTATCAGAGAAAAAGGCAGATCGTGAGAGTGAGGTTGGTCAAAAATGGTCTCCTGTTTAGGAGAAGAACAGTGAAAGAAAGCGGGGAATGTTGGTCCGAGAGTCAATAATAGTAGGCTGAAGGGTGATTACTCGAGCTGTTGTTCTAAAGCTATTTGAAGATGTTGCTATTAGTCTACAGTATCACAATAGAGTTCAGTGGATTTGAAATGAATCCAACACATCCAAGTTTTAAAATATAGACAGTGAATCTTTGGCCATATGTATAAGTTCCTCCATCTCCTCCATCCTGTTATTCGTCTAAAACCATTCTTTAAGCGATGGAACCAGTGATGAGCCCCAATGTACTGGTATACAAGTCCTTGCTGCGTTCACTAGAGGCTTATGGTAAGTCCATCTTAGTGTAGGCGAATAGTGCAGTAGATACTGGGCAGGTGAGAAATCTAGCAAATCTGAAGTAATCTGGCTTATTATTGTGCGTACATTCGACCAGAAAGATTGGAGCATGGGGCATTCCCACCACACATGTAGGATTGTGCCCACCGCCTGGAGGCATCTCCAGTACTTGTCTGGTAGATTCGGTTGATCTTATGTAGCTTGTGTGGGGTTCTGTACATCTAGATAACAGTTTATAGTTAGTTTCCTGTGCCAAGACATTCACTGTACCTTTATGTGCCATATGAAATATTTGGGTCCAGTTCTCAGGAGACAATTCCATTTGCAGGTCTGCAACCATTTTGGACAGACTATCCCCGCATCCGCGGGTATGCAAGCATCCAGGACAGCATGTACCATGGATATGACATGGCATTGGCGTTCAGATTTCAAGCACAGTTTTTCAGAAGGTGTCAGACCACGTGACACATGTGTCAAGTATGGCAGGGACACAAGGAGTGCCGAAGCTGAAAATAAGACCATGGAAGGATTTGTTTTGTCGGTGGTAGCTCCGTAAAACGGTTCCGATCCCTCAATCTTCCCGCTATTTCAAGTATTTTGAAAAAAAAAGTTTTTCTTACTTTCTATTATAAAGTTTTGTAAATAAGTAATTTTTCTACTTCACTGATGGCCACTGATAGGCTACACTGATGAGGAGTCACTGATGGGCACTGATGAGGCTGCACTGATAGGCGGCACTGATGGACACTAATATGTGGCACTGATGGGCACTGGTTCAGCTGATGGGCACTGATTGGCACTGATTGCCAGCACACATGGGCGCTATTGGCCGGCACTGATAGCGCTACAACACTGATTATCAAGGCACGGATGATCAGTGCACTGAGATTAGTGTAGATGTACACCCCTGTGAAATGCTGCTTATCGGCTCTCCTCTCCTCATGTGCTATCAGCATGAGAAGAGGACTGCCGATAACTGGCATTTCCTATTCACCCTGTGATTAACTGTGATTGGACACAGCTGGTTACATGGTAAAAGCAGCTGTGATTGGCCCGTTCCTTAGTCATGTGATCAGCTGTGTCGGAAGGGCACAGCAATCACAGATCGCGTGCAGTGCGTGCTCCAGGGGTTGCGCGCGCAGCGGGTGTGGTTCTCAGAGGACATCCACGGACACCCTCCCAGAACTAGCCGACTGTGCTGTGGCCATCTTTGGCTATAGCACGGTTGGGAAATGGTTAAAGTGGAATTATTTTTGTTGCTGGGCAGAAAAAAAATGCAAAAGGTAAAACACGGCAAAAACACACTACCATGCATTTCAGCAGCTTCTCCTTTGAACTCTATTGTAGCAAAAACACTGCTTTTTGATTGTAGGGAACCAGTTCACACTACATGCGTTTCAGTTGCTTTTTTTCTGCATCCGAAACACACAAAAAGTAGGTTATATGGTTGTCAATGTCATAGTTCACATCAGTGCTTGCAGTTCCAGTGCATTCCAGTTGCAGAAAAAGAAGTAGAACATGCTGCATTTTTTCTGCACAGAACTGTACTGGAAGGTGGTAAAAACACATCAAAAATGCACCAGAAACGCACCAAAATGCACCAAAAATGCACTGGAACGACTGTCCTTATTTAAAATCAAAGAAAAAGTTGAGAGGGGGAAAAATGAACTGGAATGCATAAAAAATATACTGGAACACGTCAAAAATGTATCAAAAATGCACAAGCAGAACTGCATTCGGAACGCAACTGGACTGCGTTTCTATAGTTGTGAACTGACCCTAAAAAAAGTCACTGATCCTTTCCAAAAATGCAGCAGCTCAAAAGCATAGATGTGAACATGTTCCCTAGGAAACCAAATTAAATGGACTGTAGTGCGTTTCTGCAAAAAGCACTAAAAAACGCATTGGTGTGAACGGGAGCCTTATTAAACCCAGGCACCTGAATTCATTCTCTCTGGTCTCCCACAGTATACAACAGAACATGGGAAATGCAATTATTTTGAGTAAATATAAACTGCTAAATACTTTTTCTCATCAGCAGTTAGAGCAGTATTGTGACTTCTATCAGTGTCCAGCAGAAAGAACACTGGTTAAAGCTTGCAGGAGGAGTTTTCTTTCTGCTCTAGGAGGATGCAGAACCCCTGACCTCTGGACAGTGCTGATTGGCCCTGTGCTGATCACATGCACTCTCCCAGAAAAAAAACTTATCTAGTAAAATACACACACCAAACTGAGCATGTTTAGAGTGTCTCCCACATGATATGTCTTTCAGGAGATAAGGGTGGGGGGCACTGGTAAGAAGGAGAGGATCAGAGAAGTCAGGATCAAACCGCCTTTTTACACAATGCAGAGGATTAACCCCTTAGGTTCCACAGTGAGTATTATAACAAGCTATACTCACTGCATATCACAGACTGATTTTAGTGTTGTGGGTTAGTAACACTTTTAACTGCTATCATCCAATCATGGGCAAACCAAAAATCCAATAGGGGGCATTTACTAAACAATGGAGCTGACAGATTTTAGGTCAGCTGTGTATAGTAACCAATCAGCTTGCTCTACCTTCAGCCTGTTTCAATTTTTTTTTTTTTAAAAGGGTAACTCCACTTAGAAACAAAATACACGGCCA